AAAATAAAATATCTTTAGTAAAATTTTCCTTAATAAAAAAATGAAACTATATAAATTATATTTATACAATAATTTAATAATGAATATTTAAAAAATTGATAAGTGAATTTGAAAATATGTAATGGAAATATTATTTTCATTAATAAACTAAATATGTACTATGCTTTTGCGTCCAAAAAGAGATGTCAAAATCCTGAAAAGCCAAAATGAAGGCAACATTATTAAAATATTATTATATTTTTCAAATTGTTAATTTTTAAAAATAATCATTATTAAACTTTTGCATAATTGTAATTTAAATAGTTTCATTTTCTTGTTAATGCAATTTTACTAAAAACATTTATTATTATTATATATTATAAGTATGTAAAATATAAATTACAAGAAAAAAATAATAATAATATTTTTGTATACATAATAATTGTTTTAAATATTTATATCAAAAAGTAAAGTTAATTGGGCCTTATAATGAAAAATTAACTAAAAAATAGGCCTTAAATTGAGAATAATTAAAAATGAAAGTCTTCGATTAAGAAAAAATAAATTTTATATTTAAATTGAGAATAATTTAAAATGTAAGTCTTCTATTAAGAAAGAATAAAATCCATATCTTATATTAAGGCTTGTAATAATGGAATATCCCCAAAAAAAAAAAAATAGTCAAATAATAGTATAATACATCTTTACATTAAATACATTTCTCATATTTATTCTCTTTGCCCTATTTGCTCATCAATTTCGATTTTCGACCCACAGAAAAATGCAAGGGCCCGGAGCTTGAGTTTCAGTGCAAATCAAAGTGGGCTTCGATCGGCTGCCGTTAAATCGGTGCTCCTAAACCGAGATTTCTTGCTCCGATGGCCGATACTTCCAAGGAAGATCTTCTGGAGTTGATCAAGCGTGTCGGAGCTTTTATCTCCCTCAAGTTTTCTGATCTCTTTCACCAACTGGTTCGCCTTCATTCTCTGTATTTTAATTTTATTATGGTGTTTATTTAATGATTTTGTTTTTGGTTGCTTGTTTAATCTTTGGCTATGGCTTCCTGCTTGTAGCAATCTGTATGTGCTATGGCGTTTTTATCCTTGATGTTCGATGGATTTGTGCTGTTGTGGTTCTGGAAAGTTGAGCTTCAGGGTTTTTGCTGAGCATTTTGATTTTTGGTTTTCTTGTTTGAATTCAGTAGTCGAGCAATGTGTATTTTGGGTTTTTTTCTACGAGGGTCTGCTTTGATGAAAGCCGAATTGGGGAATATGGGTTTCATATGCTATTGACTCTAAAATTCAAGAGACCAAAAAACGCAAATTCTTGTAAGAGGCGACCTAACCGTTGGTGGATCGTGGATCGACGCATCGTACATTTTCAACAAAAATGCATATTTATGTTATGAAATCCCATGCTTTTGTATGCTTTTTTTTTTTAATAGTAAATATGACTGGTTAGGCCTCCCTATTAGTAATCTTATTGTGCATACAATTGTTTGCCTATGTTGTTAGTGTGACTTCTTGATTGTAACCTTCGTAAACTAAGAATAAAATAACACCTCCTTCTAAGATACGTATCTGAATATTTGACTACATTACAGGATTCGCGGTCTGTTGGGGCAATTGCAGGGTTAGCGTCTGCAATAATTTTTACTTGGAGACTATTGCGAAGACCTAATGCAACTCAAACAAGGCAACCTAAAAGGCAAGGCCCAACATCTAGTGGTTCCTTTGTTGGTACTCAAGAAAGCATAGATGCCTCATCCTCCAGGGTTAACAATCCTTCAGAAGATTCTAGAACCCAGGATGTGATTGACAAGTTCTTTCAGCCCGTGAAGGTAAGCAGAGGCTTCTGTTCTTCATTTCTTTTGTATGCACAGTGTTGAAGTTACTCAGTCTGATTTTCTTTTTGTGCTCTGCAGCCAACTCTGGGGCAAATTGTTCGGCAAAGGTTGTGTGAAGGAAGGAAGGTAATCTTTCAATGTCTATGTGATCTTTATTGCAGTTTGCTGTACTTTGGCTTTATCTTTTTCCAAGTGGCTGCATGAGAGTTAAGAATCATCATTGACTGACAGTTGGAAATATATATCATCTACCTTTATTTCGTATAAATATATCCTTTTCGGATATCAACATGGTGCATATAATGTTTCAATGAATGCTTGATTCTGACATAATCCTTTTTCGGATTATGAGTTTTTGTTTCTAATGAAAACCAGATTTACTTTCATCTTCTATGACTTGACCGGTGCAGGTAACATGTCAGTTGGTCGGAGTTATTCTTGAGGAAAGCAGCCCTGAGGAACTGCAGGTTGGCTATTGTCACTTTTTTTTTTTTTTTTTCTCCTGATATATAAATCATTGAAAAAAAACCAACCACTTGTGTTGATTTTTGGCAGAAGCAAGCAACTGTCAGGTCATCTGTTCTAGAGGTTCTACTTGAGATCACTAAGTTTTGTGATCTTTATCTTATGGAAAGAGTGCTGGATGATGACAGCGAAGTAAAGCACCATTAGCATACACTTATCATAATATGTTTATTCATTTATTAATTCGTCATGGTGGAGTTTCCTTATATATATTCTCCTAGCCTTATATGTGGTCTGTAGAGATCTTCACAGTTTATAGACAATATGTTACTTGTATTCTTTTATTGTTATCCCTTTTTGGCTTAATATGATTATTGACCTATTCATCTCTCTCTCTCTCTCTCTCCTTAATTGTATTATTCCCTTATCCATGTATAATTTCCTTTTACTTTCCATAAATGTACAATTGCTTCCAGTTCACTTATATGCTGGATAAATTTGTGCAGAAGAACATTCTTACAGCTTTAGAAGATGCTGGAGTTTTTACGTCTGGTGGGCTAGTCAAAGATAAGGTAGTGTCTGAGTTCATTATTTATGATCTTATTGGAATACTAGTCATATTTTTTCCCCGTTGATCTGCTGGTGTTATATGCTCCAATCTTGTTTATTGTTTACATGTTTTTGCTATAGTTGTCTAAGAATATTTTTGTTTTGTATACATCTGCTTAAATGTAGCTCGTGACAATGTAAATGGCTTTGAAATTGAAAACACGCAGGTTCTTTTCTGCAGCACAGAAAATGGGCGAATGTCATTTGTAAGACAACTAGAACCCGATTGGCACATAGACTCCAATCCTGAAATTGTTACCCAGTTAGCCGTATGTTATCACCTACTCTTTCTTAACAATTCTGATAATTTTATTTCTATATATTTGCTTGCTTTATTGGAGCATTGAAGATTGAAATCTATGAGGTTTATGTGATGCATTTTAATTCTTTTGTACTTTTTATATGTTTTGAGACGCTTGACAATAAACGAGATGCTTTTAGGTCATGTTTGCCGTTTGGTAAAAGCAGCTGATAAGCTAGCTTATAGATTATAAGTGATTTCGAGTTTATGTCTTTTAGCAGAAAAGCTAGCTTATAGCTTATATGATAAAAGTGTTTGGTAAATTAGCTGATAAACTAGTTGAAATAAAAATTTCAACGAACTTATTTGAAAAGCTACCTTATGAGATAAGCTCGAGCGTTTTAAAAAAACTCGTCCTACCAAACTATGCTTATTTAAATATAGGAAGCTTATAAGCTAACCAAATAAGCTATAAGCTAGCTTATTTGTTTACCAAACATAGTCAAATTGTTGCGGTACTGATAATGAACTATTTTACAGTTCACTTTCGTTATCTTTTAATTAATCTTGTCCATTTGCTTGTGTGAAGAAATATTCGTGTGATTTACGACTCTTTTTTTCCTCTCGTTTTTATTTAATTCTTCAGAGATTCATCAAGTATCAGCTTCACGTCTCACCAGTCAAGCTCGAAAAGCCTGCCCCCAATGTCTTCTCAGCAACATCCTTGGAACAATTCTTTGGATGCGCCTAATTGTGTAGTGGTGTAAGCAATATATATCTTAAATTTTTACTCGAAAAATTACATCTTTTTTCTTTGATCTCAATTAAAATTGATATGTGGATTTCTTCATCTACTGCAGCTGCTGATTTCATCAGACGAGGGAACATTTTTACTTTCAGATCTTAAAGCAGCAAATATCTTCTGATACAAGCACAAAACTTCAGCCACATCGAAATAGTGTAATATGATGGATGGTTTACAAAGGCTTTGCTCGTTCCTCGTGATTTTTATTTTTATTTTTATTTCACGGTTCGCCCCAGCTAACAGCTAACTTCCTTTCCTGTCACAAGTGTTGTATCATTTTCTTCTTTTCACCTATTTTTAGCTTTAGTTAGCACATCAAAATACATTCAATTGGCATTGCCAGAATTTGTGGCTTTTTATTCCAAAAACAAAAAGGAGTATATTTTATTTCCACATTCATGTCATTTATATATACATATATATATATATATATATTTGAAAATAATAATTTTCTCAGTCAGAGAAAATATAATATAACACCGCCTTTATTATTATCTGCTGGATGCAGGAACGCTCTATGTTGCTTTACTTTGCATTCGTAAAAGGGAGCTAAAAAAAAGGCTAGTTACAATTACAATTCCCCTATATATTAATCCAGAATGCGTACGTGGCTGCTTCTGGTGCTTCACAATCTTATGTGACAAAATTACATGCTTCGTTATTAGGCTTGGATAAATTTTAATTTAATTCCAAACCAAAAATAATTAGGTCTTGATTACCATAAATATGTTGATTATTTATGGTCATGTTACATGCATTAATTGCATTTTAATATCATTCCTTATTATAACTATTGAATTGTATATGTATTTTAAAAGTTAATAACTTTTTATTTTTTTATTAGTTTTACATATGTAATATATCAAATTAATCTTCTTCTGATGAACTTCGATTTAACATCCATATTGTATGTATAAAAAAGATAATTTATATTTATCTTTATAACAATAATAAAATTATTTTTAATATTAATTAGAAAAATAAAATTATTTATCAACTAATATATTTATATTTCAAGTGGTTATATGATATAAGTTATAAAAACTAATATAATATTGCACATGTAAGTCATAAGTAACACATATCATTCTAAAATATATAGTAATATATTTTCTTTTTGTAAAAAAGTAAACTAAATTTAATATAGTTTTCTCATTAATTTTAAAATTTAAGAATAATTTTTTAACAAGCACCCGTGTAATACACTGGTGTTGCACTAGTTACACTATTAAAACAATGTATTATTTACTTAGATGAGGTTTAAAAACACAAACCTTAGATTTTGCTATTAGAGAGGGGAGATTTGAGGTTTGTAAACACAAACCAGGTTTGGTTTCACAAACCTAGGGGTGAGCATGGTGCGGTTCGGTGCAAAACCGCACCGAACCGCAAAAAACCGAAAACCGAATTTTTTCATTTACCCAAACCGAACCGCACCGAAACATGTATAAAAACCGAACCGAAACCGCACCGAAATTTTCGGTTCGGTGCGGTTCGGTTTCGGTTAACCGCAAATTTTTTTAAAAAAAAAAACAAAATAAAAAAACCCAAAATAAAATGAAGCTACATCATCATCATCTAATGTGCAACATTACCAAACCAAAAGCCCAAAATTTGAAAAAAAAAAAACTAGGCAAAAAATTAGATTTAATGTAATGTTATTAATTTTTAATTGTTATTGTTATAATTTATTACTTTACTTATATATTGTTAATGTTAGTCATCTAAACCAAAGGCCTAAAATGAGCATGTATATTTACAATACAAAATGTCAACATATTTCATATTTGTACAAAAATATATATATATATATATATAAAACTATATTCGATGCGGTTCGGTTAAAACCGCATCATTCGGACAAAAAACCGAACCGCACCGAAACTTGTGCAGTTTTCCAAAAGTTTAACCGCACCGAAAACCGAACCTTAAAAAACCGAACCGAACCGCACCGAATACATTGATTCGGTTCGGTTTTTCGGTTTCGGCTCGGTTTTGCTCACCCTTACACAAACCTCCCTCAAACCTCTTAAAATTAAAATATAAAAAATACATAAAGGAATGAAAAGAAGAAAGTGGAGTTCACATTTTCTTCCACATGCTTAATCTTTGGGCGCGTGTAATCCAATTGCTAAAATTGGAATGGAGGCTATGGCCCACTGGTGCACACCCATGGGCCTTCTTTTAATTTTGTTTTTCGTTATTTTTTAAATTCATGAGGTAAACTATGTTTTAAAAAAATGTTTCACTTTTTTCTTTATTTACTTTTACTTACATTTTCTTTTACTTTATTCCTTAAAATTTATTTCTAATTTAGTATTATTTTTTTAATAATTCATTAACTTATATAAAATGATTTTATATGGATTTATGGTAAATATATGAAATATTTAGCTCGAATTAAAATAAAAGTGGATATTAATTTTTAAAATATTATTATATATATAAGAGTAATATTAATTAAAATCTCATTTACGTCATTAGTAATTAACACTCTATAATTATAAATAATACAATATAATTAT